TTTATAGATATTTTCCAAGTGTTTTCATTACAAGTAGTTCTTCAACACGTCCGATAACGGACTGAGGCTGATCGACTTCGCCGGGGCCCGAAACATGGTAATATGTTGTACTAGGTTCCAGCAACAGAACATCCACAAAGCTGCATGGCTGTCTCCAGATCGAAAAACGAGAAACCAAATCGATCATTTTGTGATAGACGGAAGGCATGCTTCAAGCGTTTTAGCGGTGCGTACACTCGGACAGCCAAACATCGACGTGGACCACTATCTTGTTGTAGCCAAGAAACGCCCCGCCTCTGTGCAGCAAATAAAGTGCGCCAAATAATGCAAGGAAAGCTTATCGTCGAAAAGCTGCAATCACAACAGACGACCATTTTATTCGGCTCTCGACTCACACACCTGCTCTCTGAGAGCACTCTTCAAAAATCCGACATACGCGAGCAGTGGAACCAAATCTTGGAAAAGACCCGCGAGAATTGGATGGACACACACTATCTATTTGTATTTCAAAGCCGCCCTCGACAGCACGAAGAGAAGTTGCCTCTATGCCGCGATGTCAGAATTTGGTATCCCCGCGAAACTAATACGGCTGTGTAAAATGACATTGAGCAATACCACCAGCTCCGTCAGAATAGGGAAGGACCTATCCGAGCCGATTGGTACCAAACGAGGTTTCAGACAAGGACTCCGTTTCGTGTGATTTCTTTAATCTGATGTTGGAGAAGATAATAAGAGCCGCAGAACTGAATCTCTCAGGCACAATACTTTACAAGAGCGTACAATTACTGGCGTAAGCCAACGACATGGATATTATCGGTAAAAAATAAGGGCTATGCCTGTTCTGCCTTCTCGAGATTGGATAGAGAAGCAAAGCGAATGGGTCTGGTGGTGAACGAGGACAAAACGAAGTATCTCCTGTCATCACACAAACAGTCAGACCATACGCGTCTTGGCACCCACGTCACTGTTTACAGTTACAAGTTTGAAAAAGTAGACGACTTCGTTTATTGGGGAACCAGCATTAACACCAATAATAATGTCAGCCTTGAAATCCTGCGGAGAATCACTCTTGCCAACAAGTGGTAATTTGGGCTGAGTAGGCAATTGAGAAGTAAGGTCCTCTCTCGTCGTACAAAGATCACACTCTATAAGTCACTCATCATGCTTGTGCTGGTGTATGGCGCGGAGGCATGAAAGCATCTGATGAGTCGGCTCTTGGAGTTTTCGAGAGAAAGATTCTGCGAAAGATTTACGGACCTTTACGCGTTGGTGATGGCGAATATCGCACACGATTTAACGATGAGATATATGAGCTTTACAACGATATAGACATAGTGCAGCGAATTAAAATTCAGCGGCTCTGCTGGCTTGGCCATGTCGTTCGAATGGACAGAAACGCTCCTGCTCTGAAAATATTCAACGCGGGCCGCGATGCTGGTAACAGAGGAAGAGGAAGGCCTCATCTGCGTTGGAAAGACCAGGTGCAGAAGGACTTGGCTTGACTTGGCATTTCCAATTGGCGTCAGTTAGCACAGAAGAGAAATGACTGGCGTGTTGTTTTGGACTCGGCCAAAATCGCTTTGGCGGTTACAGCGCCAATAAAGAAGAAGAAGAAGTAACGCCGTCAGATTTTTTGGATTTTTGTTTTTGTAATTCATTTTTAATCTTTTCTTCTGCGATTGGCTTGAAAAATTTGTGCTTATAGCGAGCTAAATAGGTGGACATGGAAAACAAATTATTATTTTCCAGGAATGAGAATTTTAAATAAAATTCTGTTTCCAAATTCGTGGCTGCCAGCCGAATCGGATCATAATATTGGCCCTTATTATGAGTTGCATTCGATTTTCGATCTTCGCTGGCTATCGAAGATCGAAAGTGAAATTGGTATTATGAGCTATGCAAGCGTGTCGAAATTTTCATTGAGTATCGAATTTTCTGTCGAACAGAATTTTGCTTTCGTTGGTGGAGCGAAGTGTTAGAAAATTGTGAAAAATGTATGATTTTGCATTTGTTTTCTTACTTTTTGGCGGCTAGACACTAATTAAAACGGCCTCAAACTCATAAAAATTGTTGAATATAATTGTTATAAGGCCATAAAAATAACAAAAACAAATAACTTAAGGACGAGCACACCTAAAAAGTTAAACATTTTAATCATAGAAATATTAACAAAAACCAACAACCACATGATCAAGTGAATTGCAGCGGAATAGCTGCGCTTGATTGTAGTTGGCTTAGCAAAGTGAAATAGTGGAAAATAAGCAACAAGAATTAACAAGACAAACTTAGCACAGTGCGTAGGCAACTGGCTGAGGCAGTGGTGATCGTCGGTTCGAATCCTACTAAAAGAAGTCTGATGAGGAAATGTGGTGATTTCCGAAATAGCTATCACTTCTACCATGTTGTAAAATTATTGTTGATTTTCCACAATAAGTTTTCACTTTAAAACGGCCTCAAGCTCATAAAAATTGTTGAATACTAATTTGGAACATTTTTTTATTAATTTCATGCCGTTCTAACGTCGTGAATATTAAACACAAGCTCGAAAGGCTGGTTTTACTTGTGAAAGAAAATCCCAATACTCTGTTGGCACGATCTCCGAGAACAAAATCATAGAGCTGTTTATAGTTTTAATATATTTTAAATAGATTTGGATCACAAAATTTCTTAAATATATTGTATGTCAAAATATATTCGAAACACTACACTTAAACTCTCAAACGTTTTCTGCTCCTGGCCAGTTTTCTAAGCTCTCATCCTCTGACGAATCGTTCAACCAGAACTCCGTTGTACTCATTTTTACCACGTTTTTATAAACTCGCTTTCTTTTTCATTTCGTTTTTATTTGCACAAATTTACATAAATATGTATAAGCACACTATTTACTTTGCTCGATTTGTAAACGAAAGCTTCTCAGATGTGAAAAATATACTATTGTGAACAACCTAAACGAGCGAAATTCACAATAGCGCTATTCTTCATCGAATGAGCGCCATAATACCAAATGAGAATTCGTTCGATCAGCACTTTCGACCACAGTCGAAGATCGAATGCAACTCATAATAGGGGCCATTGTTATTTTCTTAAAAAATAAGATTTTTTATAAGCATTTGAATTATTGGAATCACGAATGATGAGGGTCTCAGATAGTTACCTAATTCTTACCTAATTAAAGGTCAGACTTATAGCTTTTTAATTATTTGAGCATCGATTTTCTCTATATCCAGACATTGAACATTTCTGCTGGAAATCCTAATTGAAGGAGCTTACTATTTGACTTCAAATAGCAAATAATGGATACGTAAGGGACAGTTTTGCCACCTAAGTTTTTAGCCAAGGATCGAATGTATATCAAATTGAATTTATCAATATAAAAAAATATTGCCCGACAAGTAAACAAAAAACCTATTTTTGATATTTTTCCTAAAAATAAATTCCCCATTTGAAATGATTTAAACGAATAATTGTACCATCCACAGCAAATCACGAAATGTGATTTAAAATTATAGTGCACACTTTCTTCTTTTATGTCTACACCTTTTCCAAGAGTACTTCAGAAAGCGTCAAATGTATTTCAGAAACTGTAAAATGTACTTCAGGATAGTCAATTGTACTTCAGGAAACGTAAAATGTACTTCAGAATGGTCAATTGTACTTCAGAAACCGTAAAATGTATTTCAGAACAGTCAACTGTACTTCAGAATAGTCAATTGTACTTCAGAAACCGCAAAATGTTCTTCAGAACAGTCAATTGTACTTCGGAAACCGTAAAATGTACTTCAGAATAGTCAATTGTACTTCAGAAACCGTAAATTGTACTTCAGATACCGTAAATTGTACTTCAGAAATAGTAAAATGTACTTCAAAAGACGAAAACTCGTACATATTGTAATTATTTAAATAGTATATATATTATAGTGATTTTAAATATATTTACTTTTTAATATATTTTTCAAATTACAAGTAAATTAGTTTGTTCGCAATGTCTATACATTTAAGAATGAAACAATTAATTTATTAATGCAGTTTTAAATTATGTACCAGCTGGCATATCGAATAAAGATAGTGCATCTGGGTGAAAAGCGGTAGAATGTTGAATGGCTCTGCCACAATCTCCACCAACAACTGTCGCTTTTGCCTCGTCAATAAGTTGCTCCAAGTACGAGAGCCTTTGCTCGACAACGCCCGGACCAAATGTAGCTGGAATGCCAATATTTGTCTTAACATACGTTTTAATTTTAGACCAAATATTCTCAATTGGATTCAACATTGGCGAATATGGTCCAAAATATATTAAAAAAATAAACATATTTAAAAATACTATTTTATATACCATTTAAATAATTACAATATGTATGTAGTAACTTTCGTCTTCTGAAGTA